TTCAACGCCAACACGGACGAGCATATCCGTGGGCAGTGGGATCGGGTCGCCAACTCCCATCTGGGTATATTCTGGCCAAACGGAAGAAAGACTTCCACAGCGGAAGACCTATTATTTCCTTTGTCGATTCCCCATTCAGACCAATGCTCAACATTCTTGCCAGACTCATTTTCCAGCTTATTCCCACGGCATGTCCAAATCATTTCGCTACCGGAGATGTGTACACTTTGCTCTCGATATTGAGATCGGCGCCTGTCGACGCCGATTTGATTTTGGTCAATCAAGACTTGGCAGGCTTCTTCACCAGTATTGATCAAGACCGATTCCTTCGTTCCTGGTTCATGCTCCTGGACTTTCTCCGGCCCAAAATGAATGTCTACGATGAGGAGGTCTTCTCTGTCTACCCTGGAAAGTCCAACAATCCAGGAGACATCATCAAAGGCCGTACCTTTCGTCGCCTCAATGTCACTCGGAAGATTGTCATCGGCGATGTCCCAGAGTTGATTAAATCAGCCTTGCATATGCAGACCTTCGCATTGGGACAACGATGTATCCGCCAATGCCGCGGCAGTCCCATGGGCAGTCCTCTTTCTCCTGCCCTATGTCTCATGGTCGTTTCCATCAGTGAACAGATTTGGCACAACACCTTCCACCAACTTCTCTCCAATCATCACCTGTTCATTAAACATGTCCGCTACGTTGACAATCGCCTCATCTTCGGTGACAAACGTCTTACCTCATTTGATCCATATGAGGTTTTATTGGATGATGGCTTCTATGGAAAACCTATTATCCTCGAAACTGAGCCAGACCAAGAATTCCTCGGCTTTATGATCGAAACAAAGCCGCTGGAACTGATTTACCAGGGACCAACGCAGGTGTCACAAGTTCTCTCACCATTCTCAGCTTCACCTCCTTCGGTTCTTCTCAGCGGCTTCCGGTCGCGTTGTCACATTGTCATCAAGGGAGCTTTTCCATCCCTACGGGGCTTTCCCAATGCGGAACTTCAGTCCATCTCCAACCAACTTTTGATTCAGCATCAGAACTCGAGTATTGCCGACCAAAAACTTGCTTCTGCAGCTTATTTCCAGGGTTGCTCGTTTCATTATGGTTCCGGTGTTGTTCTTCCCTCTTGTTTCTGGTTTCTTCCTGTCCTTTCTCGTGGTTGTTGGTGTCCTGTTGTTTCTTGTTTCTCTCCTTCAGCTTTTTGGCTCAATTTCCGCTTTCTTCTTGCTTCGTCCTCGTTTGAACGATCATGGATCACGCTCAAGGGCGAGCGTTCCATCATCATTTGGCCAGAGCTATTATGCATCTTAACTATCTGGCAGGGCTCTTGCCTTTCTTCGAACCCTCCATTGAATATGATGAATCGCCGCCTCCGGCAAATCTCCGTCTTGATCATCCAACAACCAGCCTGCACACTTTTGTGCCCAGACCGACATCCGAAGGTCCCCCGACCTTGGTATCACACGGAGGCATCCCTTCCCACATGGTATTGAATCCAGAACCATACCTTCGACCGGCATCAACAAGCTCGCCACCAGTCAGTGCATCCATTCTCAACACTGTTGCATCTCGGCCTGCCAGTCTCATGACGGACCCTGGTCCAAATCCGATTCCTGGGTCCACAACAACGTTTACCTTCCCTACGGCGCCAACACGCACTACCACCCCTGTTCCAGTGCGATCAAAACAACGGTCATCATCTTTGGTGGACCCACAACCAAAAAAGAAGCAGAAAGGGGAGTCCATTCCTGAGCCCAGACTCGCCCACAATCCTGATGCTGACCATTCGACATCGCTACCAATTATATCAGACGCCCGATCAGGCGACATGAATTCTGATGACTCCGATGGTGAGGCTGTGTCAAGAGAGGACATCAGTTACATTCATGGTGGGAAAGCAAGACCCAGAACACCTCCTCTTACATTGACTTCCAATCCAAAAGCTCCGCCGTCTCCTCATATGCATATCCTCCATGCTATTCCAGCCGCTACACCTCCTGATCCGGCTCGTCCTTGGACCCACGCCGATGACCAAGAATTGATCGGCATGAAACAGGACACAAAGTCCAGACCTTCGTGGAAAACGATCGGAGCGAGACTCCATCGCGACCCTCAGCTCTGCAAGCTCCGATGGGGACTTTTGAAACAGACATCAGAAGTGACTGACCCACCGGGTCCGAACAACCCACCTCATGAACTTGAGGGAGATGACTGACTCTAGCATCAATCTTTGCGATGTCAAAAAAGTGTGATATGCTGCCTCATTTGTTGCTTTTGTGACCCATGTCTTTTTTCCCTCCTTTCCCTTTCTCCTTGGCTTTTTTCTCCTTTGGGGTTCTTTCCTTCTTTTGTTTGGTTTTCTTTCGCCTGCGCCAAGTGCTCCATCTCTTTGTTTTTGTTCATCCACAGCAAATATGGCTCATTCATATTCTCACCGACGAACAGCTCCTGAACGCTCCCGCTCGCGGGACGACTATATGTGGCAGAACCGTCGCATTCAGCAAAATGATTGGCAACAAAATCCTCGGCCTGAGCAACCTCCTCCTGCTCCTCGAGTCAGAAAGGTCTTGGTCATCGTTGACATTGAACAAGTTCGTCCACTTATGAATAAAACTCATAATGACCCAATGGCCACTACAACATGTGAGGTCCTCCCTCGCCTCACTCGTGTCGAGGAACATGCATTGTTCACCTACAATGTTCTGCTCAACACACACCGGTTGGAAACCTTGACGGTGTACAACCTGTTATATTGCATCAGCCAGCATATCTGGTATACGTGGGATCGATTCTTGCCTCCTTCATCTATGGACATCAGATGGCAAGACGACACTGGAGATACATTTGCTCTCCGCAACGAGGAATACCTGATCACCTATTTGAACACCTATCGCCCTCACTGGACTGAGGGACAAGAACACAGTGAGATCTTTTCAAATAACATTCATTACTTTACGTCTCACATTCAGCCTTATATCATGCGCGTGAGTTGCCATGAGGCTCTTCCGAACCGCAACATGCTTCCTTAAGCTTGAAAAGTCTCCTGCATTTAGGGTTGTGGGACTTTCCCTTTGCTTTTTTGTCTTGGCCTCTTTGTTGCTTCTTACCTGTTAAATTCTTTAGCTCTTGGCTCCAGCGGTACCATGACCAAACGTGATTCCTCATTTGCCGGTATTACGTATCCTTCATCCTCCATGAGCATGCCACGTCGTCTTTCATGGAGATCTCGCAGTCATGGGCAATCCAGTAGCACTGCTGCTCCTTCGGATTCATTGCATCCTTCCCGCAGCGACAATGCTCCCCAAGCTGGACCTTCCACCTCACCTACAGGATCAGGTGAGTACACACCTCACTACGGGTACTCTTCGGCAAATCTTGCCACACCCATACCATCTCCTGCCGATCATCAAGCTCCAATTCTCCCTAATCCTACAAGGGAATCATATCCACTCCAGCAAGAGATGGAAGAAGTCCGACGTCAGCTCCATGCATACTACTTTGTCGAGGTCCAATCACCTTCAGATGGCAACACCCAACCGGCGATTCGCCGACTTATGGTGACGGAAGTGGATCGACGTGGCAACCATCACAATAGGCAGCCGGAATATTTTTTCAATGGCATCATCGGCCATATTCGTGCCGGCCAGAATGGCTGGATTGACTCATGGGATCAATCCTCCCAGCTCGCCAACTACTGGCGTCGCTATTTTCAGATTCCGGAGATCTCTCCGTATGGAAATTGGCATCCCCGTCAAGATGAAGCTCCAGAAAGCCCTGAGTCGGTGCATGAATCCGGCATGGATGACACCGATTCTATCATTGCCAATGTTGACATCAATCCACCTCCCGTCCAGATCCATCAACTGGCAACGTTCCTCTGGAACATTCTCAACAATGACAGGGAGGCCAACATGGCCATACTCGAACGTCTCGAGGATACTGAAGGTGACCTTTCCCGACACCCAGTTCAGATCTTCTCGGCGGCAGATTTGGCTCATCTTGCCAGCCACTTGGCGGAATCTACACGGACTTTGTCAAACCAAGCACGGCGCATGGAGGCATTACCTGACGAAGGCCTGTGAGCTTTAGGATTAACTCATTTGATGTTTCTTCCCTGTATTTTGAAGCCATTTCCGCTTCAGGGAACGGATAATAGCCTTCACCGCGTGTAAACCTGAGAAAAAGCCTCGCGGCAGCGAGGCGTGTGTGTGGACCATCTCAAAAGATGTAAAACTTCCTTTGTTTCGATGATGGTTGTTTTTCGTGGTTTTCGCTTTTGAATTATACTTGCAGGGGGTAGCGGCAGATCATTTGGGACCGCTACCAACGAAGACACCCATTTGATCTGGTGACACAGATTGGGACGCCAATCTGCGTACCTGCACCAATTCTCATTTCCGTCCATGGCAACCGGCTAAGCCAAGAACCGGCATGTCGATTTGTTTTCAACTTCTTTTTTGCACTGTTGCCACAATCTGCCTATTCTACGATTTTTATGATTGAAAAAACTGCTTCAGAACCTTCCTCAGAGCAAGGACGTAGAAAATTTACTTCGTACTGAAATTCACGCTGGATCAACAAATTTTCCTGGCAGTTTTTAAGGGACTGTTTTGTGCACGTGAGATGCATTCCACAACAAAATTCGCATTGCTGTTTCTGAGCAAGTGTGTGCGCGTGTGTGTGTGTGTGTGCAAGTCAGCATCATGAGCGTTCGCATCTCTAGCGCAGCATCAAGGTTGTGTGCAAGTCAACATCAAGTTTACATCATGAGTATAGTGCAAGTCAACACGAATGTTGTTTTGTGCCCCCAGCCACCCCCCCACCCCCGACTGACATGTCGTATGGCACACGTGGGACCAAAGTGACATGGAGCGACCCTGACAACTAGCACCGGCTGCGCATAGGCGCGCACATGACTCGGGCCAAGAAGAAAGAGTCCCAGATTGCCCAGAAATGGTCCCAGGTTTGTTTGAGCGGACACCCTTACGACGCAGGCAGTGTCCTCACGACGTGGAGAGCTTTAATGCGGTGTTGGCCGTTTGTGAGGTGCAATGCTGTCTGACCGTTGGTCCGCCAAGCTTCTGTAGTGGAAGATCCTGGGGGATCGGAATTGATCAAGTGCACTGAAGTTAATGTCAAGCTACAGTTGCAGAAGTGGGCAACTAGGAACCTCGATTTGTTTCTGTAAGAAGATGACATTGGGTGACACATCGCTCGAGACTGGAATTACTTTTTTTTTGGCGGGTTCTATTCATGGTCATTTTTCCCTTAATGGGCGTTGCTGTGGATGAGCAAATGACATTTCTGTGTCGCTTCTACAAGGGTAAGGGTTCAATTAATAGGTCGATGATAGCAAACAACATCAAACGACTATTGTGTGGTTCATTGTGGTTCTTGTGTCGTTTCTCTGTTCGCGCTGAACTTGCTGTAAAGGCTGCTGCACAGTGGGAAAGAGCGCTGCAGCTGTGCACAGGCTGAGTCCTGGGTCCCATGTTTTTCAGTTCCTGGATGTTCCTGGAACATTCCTGGCATTTCGGAACATTGGTCGTTTTGGGGTTTGAAAAAGATTCTTGCTTAAAAAAAAACGAGCTGGCAAAAGCAAACAGGGCAATTGACAGATAGGATCCATAAAGGCAAGGGATGTGCGACATGCAGCTGCACCTTATGTAATGCCCTCGAAGAATTCTTTTGGAGAAGCAGCCAATACCCTACTGACTCTATGGCGACTCTTTGATTATGATTGAAAGGCAAAAATGACATATAATTACATGCGTCCAAGCGCTGCTTCATGTTTGAGATGCCCGGAAATTTGTAGGTGCAGGAAAAACTACATCAACGGATTTGGTTGGCTTCAATACACTTATCTCCGCCTGTGCCAGAGGACTGGGTTTCACTCTGGTGCCGATGGGATACCAACAGATGGCTTGGGAACCAGAGTTGACGACCCATAGCAATTTGTCTTGCCTCATTTTGCGGGCGTAATCAACACTTTGGGCCAAGACCAGGAAGTGAGTGGCAGCAGTGTCTTCGCTTGCTTTCCTCCAGACAAAGTGATGTCATTGGTTGCTCAGTTTAAGCTGGGTGAGTTCATTCGGGAAATGTGGTGGCTGAAAGAACTTTTCAAGATATGGAGTCCATGGAGTCCATGGAGTCAAGAACAACACTACAACACGTCATTTCCGAATCATGAAGGCGCTAGCAATCTGCGCGCTCGCACAATCTGCGATTTCGATTTGCGCCTCTGAAGATTCGACCGCGGTTTGCCCAAATGTTGTCACCACAGAAATCATAAGGACAGTGATGATTAGAACTGATGACAACAAGACAATATTATATAAATATACATATATATATATACAGTACACACTAACTAATCATCAAACTTCTGACTTATCCCTTCAATGACATTTCATTAGAAGTGCAACAATAGTAACAGTTGTAACAGAATATAATAGACTCAAGTCGATTGTTCATTGATGTCATTGTCATAGTAATAATGTCAAGAAAAATAGTAATGTCATATACTACGTACATACATATATCATATATATATATATGATATATATATATATATAAATACACACATCATATCAATACAATTTTGTCACGATTTTATAGCAACAGTCAGTTCCCTGCCAAGCCAAAACTCAAGGCTTCAACAGTACCCTGAGTGCTCTAGCTGCTGCGCGTTGCTGGGATCACGCCTTGGCGTTACTCCAAACAATGAGAGGCGAATCCGGGCGGATCCGTCAGGAAGATGACATGGAACACATTTGAACTGGAATGGTTTGTGTTTGTGTTCCTATGCCTATAAATAATTCATTAACTGTTTCAACTCATTTTCTATGTGACATATGTCACTTATTCTACTTCGTAATTGTTAAGGGTAACTAAACTAGCCATAATCGCCAAAATCAGGAGGTTTCTGGTGTTTTCGCGGCCTTTTTTGGCTGGACCCGAATATCTTTATGACAGTTTTACCATCGTTGATTCAGCTCGCTGACTGCAGACCCTTTGCCGAATGTGGTTTCCTACAACACAACCATCAGTGCCTGTGCAGACTGCGAAGGACAATCCAACAGCCATCACCTAGTGGGCTTCGTTGCCCTGTGAATGGGATTTGGGAAAATATCATCATCTCAATTATTGGGAAAAAAAATGTGAATCATCTACTATATCATTTGCCCAAACTGGGACATACCAGGGACTTCTCAATTATCTACTCATTTGAGGATTCATCCCAGTACCCTCCAAGCGCTCATGGCGTCATGGCCCCAGGAGAGGAATGGGAGCATGCCATGGGCCTGTTGACGCAGATGCAGTTGGACAACTTGCAGCCGGACAGCGTGGCTTTCCATCGTGGCTGGTGAGGGCTAAAGCAGGTTGTCCTGCTTTCACTGATCTGGGCTTGTCTGAAAATAGGGTACCTCTAGATCCAATGGTTTATCATCTTTTTCCCTATCAGAATGCTATTTTGTTGGGGTACGCAATTTTCACACGCATCCATATGGTGTCATGGTTGGCATTACCCGAGTGGGTTGGCTTGTTGATTTGAAGTCAACGCGACAGAACAACATGTTGTAGTCACTCAGTTGTGAATTCACAGCAGTCATTCACAACCCCTACGGGCAGCAATCCACAGCGGTCGACAGCAATGTAGGATCGCATCAGCTTCAATTCTTTGATGGCGGTCACGAAGTCTTGGAGTCTTTGTTTGCTGATCTTGGAGGAGACAAAGAAAAGGTGTAAAGTTTACAAAGGGAAGATGGACCTGGTGGACTGGTGGAGTTCTGTTTTCTGGCACAGCTGCAAAAATCGGTGGATCTCCCATTTCGGATTTCTCCTCAGTGCATACTTTGGATGTTTCATTTTCAGTGCAGGTCCAATGTCTCTGCTACCAATGTTCTGTGCTACTAGCCTCCGCAGTGGAAACATGGAACAATGCTTGACATGTTCCCATCAAATACCATGGAAAAGGTATATAATTATAGCATACGGCCAGGAGACCATGGCCTCTGCGGATGCCACGACCTTTGCCACCGCACTGCACGTCTTGGGCACAGCTGGGCAGTGGCGACGCTGTTTGGAGATCCTTCAGCAGATGCAGGTTGGGGTAGTTGGTATCCCTGGATAAAAGCTGCAACAGCTCAACCAAGTGCTGGATCCATTTCGGAAGGGCCACGATTTGGACCGCATGAAGGGGCACGTCGTTCCACGACCCAACACGTTGCTGTTGCCCAACATCTTGTGCCAGGGTCCTGATCTCATGGCGAGTATGGCGGTCTTCCATGCAGCGCATGTGGCATCTGCGTCACTGCTGTGTTGGGCGCTGCGGGGTGCCATGGTGAAGGCGACAGACGGTTTTTGTGCAGTGCAGGGTGCCCTCTATAATCTTTATATCGCTGGGGAAAGATTACTTTGCATTAAACAGGCTTCAATCGATACTTAGCCAGACTCTCTGGCTCCCAAAGAATCTAAAGAATCTCAAAGGATACATGGCCAAAAAACGATTGTAGACACAATTTGTCAATGCATTTAGGGTTTGGAAATCACCGACTGCCACTGGTCTTGGAAGTCCACTGGTCTGTTACAATGTTCGCTGCAGGGGTTCCGATGATTCCGCGGGGTGTCAGGCCTTTAACCACACCTTGGCCGATGTGGCAGGGTCGGTCAGGAGACGACTGCGAGTGGAAGCCACTATGCAGTTGCCAGCTCAGTGTAAAAAATGCTGGGTTAAGGGATGTTAAGGGACAATTGCCATCATTGGCCATCATCCATCTATTTCCAGAAGCCATTTCTTGAATCAACACTTTCAGGCGACAGGTGACAGGTGAAACTGGTCGAATCCATCACAGAGGACGAATTTCACCCAATGTTCTGATATATTGTTTTGTTTGAAAATAGGGTCACCCCGCAATTCTCACCATCATCATTTTTTCCCATGAACCAAAGTCAATTTTTGGGGGGTATACTACATTTTTGGAAGAAACTACCCATGCGCTGGGCTGCTTGGAGGGATAAAATCATGTGCTGCCTGCGTTGTCAGGTTGGGGAAACTGGAGAGTTGCGTATGTGCCTGGCAAGGAGGCAGGATGACTCACAGCGGCATTCTTGAGGCAAGACTTCTTCTTTCCATATCTATATCAATATCTACAATCCATAATCCATAATCTATGATCCACAATCTATATATAATCTATATCTACAGTATTTCTATATCTAAGTATATTTTTTTCCCCCTGGGGGAATGTTAAGATAGCATAGACAACAGGGTCATGCCACCTATCTACGACTTTCCGTTCTGTATTCTCATTGAGGATTGTCACATGTATTTACCACGATTCTGGTTTTATTTGATAGTCACTTGCCATCTCAGACTTGGGTGGTTCATCCTTTTCACCGAAACCGCCCTTTTTTGAGTAGTAGAAAGCAACAACAATGTTTCCAAAGCTTATAACTTTGATGTGAAGAAAATTGAAGAAAGTGACTGAAACAACCATTTGACAAATAGGATCGCTTCATATCGTTTCTCATATCATTTCGCTGTAGATTTCCTCTTCCAGGCGGTAGGCATCAGCTCATGGGACTCATGGATGCCACTGCTGCATTGGCGCAGCTGGGAGGTGAGGGGCCAAGATCCAGAAATAACCTGGGTTGTTAGAGGTTTAACCTAAGTTTTAACGTGTCTTGTAATCATTTGTTGATGCTTTTTGGGGATATTTTGGGATAGCTGAGCAGATTCGAGCCATGTCATGAGTTGGGTTGATTTTGTGTGGATGCAATCTTGTCCAATCTTCAGTACTGATGCGGGACTTCAGTTGGTGCTGCTCAGTTATATAACTTGTCATCTGCTTGCAGGCAAATTTCCATCACAGGCTAGTGGGGGTTGATTGTTGGGGTACCAAATCTTGAGCACTGCCAGACTTGCAATTCTGTTTGAGAAATGTGGGGCAGTTTTGTCTATGCTTTTCCAGCTCGTTTTTTTGGCACTGAAACAACTTGGATGATTGAAATCCTCACATTTGCCTGTTGCTGAAATGGCCTTGCAGTTTTGCAGGGGCTGGGTCGTGAAGTGAAGAAACATAGCAGAGTTCGACAGAGGTGATCGCTGATCAGATGCGTGTTGAAAGGCTGGCCACCTTCGCCATCCGCATAATTTGGAGGCCCCCTGGAGAGGTGACCTGGTGCTTTTTCTTAGATATTTAATGCCATAAATGCCATAAATGCAATAAATGCCATAAATGTAAATGCCCAATTCTGGGTCGACATGATGGGAATGATCAGCTTCCAGCCAAGCTTCAGATTCAACGGCAGAGCAGATCCGCAAGCAACAATCACAGTAATTTTTCTGACTTTGACTGACCATGCATGGGCCCTAAATTGGTTTGACTTGGTTGTGCTCTGTGATCGCCGCAAGGCATTCTTGCTCTTGCCCCCAGTGGCTGCAAGGCATCTAGCAGAGGCACGGTGAGATTTGGCTTGATGGACATGGGTCTCACAAGAATTTTGATGGCTGACTAGGCACCACCGAATCTCAGGTAGGCACTAATTTTGACCCCATACCAAGTTAGTTTCCAAGGCGAGAGAATCCATTCCCCCGTAAATTTCAGAGCCAAACTGCGGATTGTGCCAGGCAAAACACCTCTGGGGCTCGCCTGGTGCGCCGCTTTCGCGGCTTGTGATAGGTGTTGCCGATGCCCAAAAAAAGGATGTGATTCACCCTGGTGCTTTGATCCATCATGGAATGAAGATGGATATTCTTGTGGGGCTGCAGGTTCAACAAGCCAAGCAACCATCAAGATGGTGTGGGTCAAGCACGTAACCACCCAATTATGGTAGGCACATTTTGATGCGCCTGGATTCCCTGGATCCGAACCTTTAGGACCTTCCTGAGCGAAAGAACAGAACCGGCCGATTTTGGCACGGAATTTATTGGCATTGATTTGCACTTCTTGTGCTTTGTAGATTCTGCTGCCTGGTTTTGGCACCACAACAATGCACACACACGCACATACCACCCGGGTCGGCACAGCACAAAGTCGAGTTTTCAAGTGCCGCAGCAATGTTTCAGCTGTTCAAACAGCCCGCTCCGGGGGTGAGCTTGGGCACGGGCCGGGTGCTGCACGCCCTGTGAGCATCATGTGGCAGGCGTCACTGGCAATGTAGTGTGCACATCCTGGTATCCTCTATATGTGGAGTATAAATCCACCATATGATTTATGGAATTGATGGGTTTGCAAGCCTTCCCCATTTTTGGACAGCCCACATGTCCAGACTGCCATGGGCGTTCTGGTTTCGCTTCATTGACAATGGAATTTAATTTATCTATCCAGTTCGCCACAAGACATGTCACACTTTGTATTTTGATCCTTTGGGGCTCAAAATACTCCCTGAAAACGGTCCACCGTTCTTCCGTGCTGAACCCCGCACGGGTGAGGACACCAATCTGCTGGGCCGTGATTCGCCGGGTCATGTCTACAACCCGAAGCGCATCCGCTCGATGCCTGTCACCAGCTTTGCTGGCTCTGAGCGGCCTCCATTAGGCGTGAGGGTAAGTCCCAACACTTGGAATTTGTAGTTGGGGATAGTTCAAAATCATCAAAGCCACAAAATTTGAAATGGATGGCTTAATGCTTAATGCTCAAGTAGTTACAGTAATCGATTTTGCAGGTACATTTAGTACATCAATTTCAATCGCCATGATACAGCGACCAGCCAGGGAAAGCAAAGTATCCTGACGCATCCAACGACTTGACTCAGGCGCATGATGGGTTTCGCGAGTAGGGAAGGACGCAATGCTTCCCCCCCAAAAAAGTTTGGGTTCATAGTTCATACAATTTGCAAGCTTGGAGATTGAATGGATCCTTCTCAAGCTTCAGCTCTGAACCCAAACTTTTCCTTTGATGGTTTTGTCTACGCGCAACATTTTGTTGGTCGTTGCTGGTTATGTGGTAAGTTTCCATTGTCATGAGGGCAGTTGGATGGGGTGGACGCTATTGATAGTATGCACTTCAAAAAAATGTGTATGAAATGTATCAGTCGGGAGCAGAAAGCAGTTGGCTGATGTCCTTCCACCCTCATCATTCCGACCGCATCGTAAAATCGGGTCCCATTTCACCATCAGGTCAGGCAACCACATTTGGATGATCTGGCAGGTTACACCTGACTCCCAGCCCTTCAAATATGGAGAACCACGTGCTGCAACCATGGGCACTTGCCCAAGAGATGTGGCTTGGATAAGTTGGAGTTTTTTATCGATCCCAGTTCCTTGGATCTATTGGTTCCGTTCATTTTTTGAGCCCCAAGGACTATAAGGGTTACCCTCTGGTAAACATACAAAAAACTATGGAAAATCACCATTTTTCATGGGAAATGTCACTATAAATGGACATGTTCAATAGCTATGTTAGTTTACCAGAGGGTAAATCATGTTAAATCTTTTGGAAGGATTTCCTATGACTTTTTGAAAAGGTCGGCTCAAGTATCCTTGTCTGTACGCAGCTTCGGGTGCATTCTGAATTCTGCCTCCTTGACTCAAGGTGGTCACCAATGCTCCAGACTTGATGCTTAGATGCACTACCCTTGGTTGGCTGATGTGCGGCTCGTGTACCAGCTTAATATTGGGGATGATTATGATCCATTACACTTTGGCATGTACATTGGCTGGAAAGTAGTCTTCCAATCAGACCCTGAATTTCAGAATGTCGAATCGGATTGTTCCAACTTGCTTCTTGCTGCGGCTTTCATTGTGATGACTTTGATGTGTGAGCTCTGTAAGGAATGGCTTTCCCAAGGGCCGGATCTCCCCTGGGCCCATGTAGCTTGACTGCAAGAGTGAAAAGAGTGAAAAGAGTGAAAAAAAAGATCAGAGGCAACGAAGCGTGTAAACAAAAGCCTTAGCCAGACTAGACATGACTGTTTCCGGCGTTGTAACAGGTAAATTCCACTGTGAAAGAGCAGCATGATGGTCGTTTTGGTCGTCCATTTGGGTCTCAAAATAGGTTTTACTTTAAACATGATGATTTTCACGCAGAATTGATGATAAATCATTGGATTCTGGGAAGGTACGATTCAAAAATCCAACTGGATGCAGGCGATATAACATCGCAAACTGCCCGCCGGCAACGCGGCTACAGCATGCACCAGGCTGTGACCAAGTGCCACCCAAGCATCTTGGCAACCAATTGGGCCATAGATATGGATCGAAATGGGGTCACAGCTGAAAACGGCCACTTTTAACAGATTCTTGGGTTCCAAACTTTGAGATCCCATAATTTCGCATTAGACTGGACCTTGACGACTTGATGATGGTAAAAAAAGTGACCTTATGAGATGAGTCCTGCCGGCACACCGGCAGAGGCACCAGGGATCACGTGCCCAGGTGGAGCATTGGACACAAGACAAAGATTCTGGAACTGGAGTCGCAAACAGGGCCGAAAGCTGCATGGCGAAGAGTTCTTGTTTGCCTTGGACAGTCCTGTCAGGACATCTCGCAATAGAATGGGTTCCGGATGCTTCCGGATGGTTTTGGATGGTTTCGGGGTACCCATCCCCAAGTTCCCAAGTATCGGTTTGAAACGGCTCTGGCAAAGCTGCGGGACCAAATCTCTGGGATATGGACCGGCATGATGAGGTCAGAAAGTTTTCTGTTAGTTTGATATCGATGGGCACGTGCAACGCGAGTAGTATTCTGATGTTTACCAACCGAGGTTGGTCCTGGTACCTATCCTCTTCCAGCAGCTTGGCTAACTTTGTCATTTGTGCTTGGCGGCCTAAGTTTATTTGCCATAAAGAAACGTTTTCAGCCTGAGAATTTCTTACTTCTTTCTTTTTGGGAAGTCGTGACCAAAGCAGTGATTCCATGTCTACCTCAGGATGCCTGTGGCAAGCAATATGAATCAGATAAAAAGAGCATCCCCATTTGGAGCTGCTGCAAAAAAGATAGATTTCCGAAGAAGGCGCGGGTCCGGGCTGGGTCTTCCGTCAGCGTTTGGTCGGAGAATATGTAGACGTACATCATATACCTTGATGTGTCTGTCAAGTGATAATGACATTTGAGCAGGTGACAACTTGGCCCCCGTAATGGGTACTGCTGTCGCCGATTCCGGAGAAAAGGCTTCCTTGAGCTCACAGCAAGTCTATCCATGAGTGCAGGCTCTGCAGATGTTCCTTTCCTTCAAATTTTGGGGTGAAGGTTGCCTGCCCAACCCAACCTTTCGTTTTCAGAGAGAAGGAAAACGATGGCGCAATCCAAAATTCAATCACCTAGCTCGACTTTTTTGATCTCTTTGTGCAAATCTCTACTCTAGAACATTCCGCTCAACATCAAAACCCAAGAAGCACCCCTTGATGTTGTTTTTTTAACGTTGGGGTCAACGTCGTGTATGGATTTTTGACTCCTCCAAGAGAGACTGAGACAGTCGTGCAGCGAGACAACTGGAGGCTCGAGAACATGATACTGGCCGTTTGTGGGATGGTGAAGGCAAAAGAAAGGCGCAATTCAACAGGACCGGTGGCCGCAGCACGACTTGGTAGCGGAACAACTTTAGAAAAACACGCGCTTTTGGTGCCGACAAATAAAACAGAACTTTGAGGACAGGTTCCCTTCCAAGATCTTCCATGGGTTCGCCCAAGGATCGAGAGTGAATCGCTGTCGAATAGATAACCGGTCGAAGGACCTGCACTGCACCGCCATCTTTTAGCTTCGGGACCTCCACGCGCTTCCACGCGCAGAAGCTGGCGCGAGCCTTGGCACCTGCGGATGAGAAGGCATTGGAAGCTGACGCAGCACTGGGAGTTCATGAAAATTGGGCGTGGGTCATACAAGCGTACCAGGCGCACTGTAACATATCCCTGTTGCTTGGGATTTTTGATGTGTTTTCTCTTTGATTGCTATACTTTTGAAACAACACAGTACATAAAAGGTTGGAGAACTGAAGTCCGAATCGGAGATTTTGATCATGGCGTAGCTGTTCGCGCGGTTGGGCTTTTTGGCTTAGATTGTCATTAGGTCCAAACGAAAAGCTGAGACCTGTCAAGACAATTTCAGAGGGGCCCTTAGTACGGTAAGGGTCAAAATGATCCACGAAATGACACAAAATGGATGTTTTCAGATCCTAAAGATGACAACTTTTGTGTGTCCTTTGCTATCAATTTCTATCTCAGATGCCCGGTAGGTCTTCGGTCGGCCGCCAAAGATTGTGCCGCCGAACATTTCGCCGCACCCGGACTGGGGAAGATGCGGTTTTTTATCAGGGAAATCAGGGAAGACGTGGCTGGTCATATCCGAGATCCAACCATCCGTAACCATCCAATTTGGGAAGTTTGTTTTTCGATCCTGAATGAATACCACCCAATGATGGAAAAATCAGGATGAAACTGCAGAAAGGTGCACTTTTTGGGGTCCATCTTCCCGTATGTGGAGCCCTTGGCAGGAAATCATGAAGTATACCAGAGTTCCGCAGGGATGCTAGTGACTCTGAAGCTGATAAAATGAAGGACTTCTCAACCTATGTTCATCATTGTGTTCTTCTGCTGAAGACTTTTGCTGCAGTATCAGTCAGTGTATCAGATTGACACGGAAAACAGATTTGATTTTATACCAGAAAAAACAGTCTTGGACTCGCAGTCCAATGATGTAATGACGTTTCACCTGCTTATGCAATTTGTATATACTTTCTGGGATTGTGTGGCCTCTCCGCTTGCTCAAGGTTGGTTTGGCAAACGGCGGTTAAAACATTTGGATGATTAAAGTAATGAACGATTCTTGACTTGAAACTGGAAACCATTTGAGACTGAGATGGTTTCTTCAAGACAAACCTGTAAGTGGTGCGCCAATTCCCATGTGTGTGGATCCAAAGAATCCCCGTAGGGCTAGTGACTTCGGTACCACGCTCGAAGCGATGTACTGAGGGTACAAAAAGAGGCGTGCTCTTCCTTCAACTGACTTGGGTTCTCACAAATGTGGAACCTTAAGACTGCCACTTTAAGTATCTTTAAGGTATCCTTTGAGACAAGCAAATCGTGGTGCAGCAAGGTCTTCCAATCGAAGCCCCAACGAACAAAACAATACAAGCGAGTCCCTTTCGGGTATCCGTACCCAAGAGGCCACGAAAGACCTTGCCGAGTGCTGGGCTCTAGGGTTTTTGACATCTACATCCCAAACGTCTGTTGATTTGGAACTCTGATTTTGCTGCTAGACTTGATGCCTGGATGTGCTTGTTGGATATTTAGATATTGCTCCACTAGGGGCAGTCAATCAGAACGAGAGCAGACTGAGGCGTTCATACAGCGGAAACATGAAATTGATCAAACACACACTGCCAGCCAGACTGGGCAATTCAGATTGGGCTGGTTGCTTCAAGTTCTCCAATTCAGGGGAACATGCATAGGCTGCATAGGTATAGCTGAATTTGAAATTTGGGAGGATCCTGCTTCCCACAAGTACGCATTTTGAAGAAGCTCTTCCAGCGGACTTCCAAGGGTCAAAACAACCTGAAGAAGCGATCAATTCATTGCAGGCACAGTGTCCAGCATCTTGCGCTACAATCACTGCGCGATGAAACTCCTCCATCAAGACTTGTCCTGGCTGCTCTCAGCGAGTAAAGCTGAGGGCCGCACACTACATCAGGTCGAACACATCGTGCGCAGATTGCTATTGAAAACAACATAACCTTCTTGTTTCCTTCTGGACAGTGCTCGGATTCATGTCAGGTGTGGCCTCATGTTCCAACGTCTTGCAGCGGAAACTTCTTGCCCGTGCCCTCCGGCCTCGCCCCGCCACCAGCAGGCCTATCATGAGCGGCCCCTCACTACTTGAAAGGCCCGACAACGACGTAAATCAGGGAACAGTATGCCGCCCGAAGAAATCTGCCTTGCTTCCAAATCCAGCACGAAAAGCTATGTTTGCAGTCTTACCGATATTGAAAAAGGTGCGGTCAGCATTGATGCAACTTTTTCCCCACATCTTTGTGTCGGGTTCTTGTTTTTGATTCTGTTTCCCGCCTCCGCCGCCGCCGCCTCCTCCACCGCCTCCTCCGCCGCATCTTTGTCACACACAACTTTGTCACCCACCGTCTTTCACACACAACTTTGTCACCCACCATCTTTCACACACACACAACTTTGTCACACACAACTTTGTCACACATCATCTTTCACACACAACTTTGTCACCCACCATCTTTCACACACAACTTTGTCACCCACCATCTGTCACACACACACACAACTTTGTCACCCACCATCTGTCACACACTACTTTGTCACACACACACAACTTTGTCACCCATCTTTCACACACAACTTTGTCACACACCATCTTTCACAACTTTGTCACACACCATCTTTCACACACAACTTTGTCACCCATCTTTCACACACAACTTTGTCACACACCATCTTTCACAACTTTGTTACAAACCATCTTTCACACACAGCTTTGTCATCCATCTTTCACATCACCGCGGCCTTTGCGTGGCAAGCGTGGCACTTGGAGACATCCACCTTCGTTTTGCGTGGCAGGCGTGGCACTTATGGCACTGGGCTGACTCTGGTGGCGCGCTGGGATTGGTCGCCCGTGGCGGCACTTTGCGTGGCAGGCGTGGCACTTGGCGACATCCACCTTCGTTTCACGTGGCAGGCGTGGCACTTGGAGACATCTACCTTCGTTTTGCGTGGCAGGTGTGGCACTTATGGCACTGGGCTGGCTCTGGTGGCGCGCTTGGGCTGGGATCACTTTGCGTGGCATTCGTGGCACTTGGCGACATCCACCTTCGTTTCACGTGGCAGGCGTGGCACTTGGAGACATCCACCTTCGTTTTGCGTGGCGGGCGTGGCACTTACGGCACTGGGCTGGCTCTGGTGGCGCGCTTGGGCTGGGATTGGTCGCCGGTGACGCACTTTGCGTGGCAAGCGTGGCACTTGGAGACATCCACCTTCGTTTTGCGTGGCAGGCGTGGCAATTATGGCACTGGGCTGGCTCTGGTGGCGAGCTTGGGCTGGGATTGGTCGCCGGTGATGCCGCGGCACTTTGCGTGGCAGGCGTGGCACTTGGCGACATCCACCTTCGTTTCACGTGGCAGGCGTGGCACTTGGAGACATCTACCTTCGTTTTGCGTGGCAGGCGTGGCACTTATGGGATTGGTCGCGTGGCAGCTGTGGCACTTGGCGACATCCACCTTCGTTTCACGTGGCACGTGTGGTACTTGGCGACATCCACTTTCGTTTCGAGTGGCAGGCGTGGCACTTGCAGACGTCGCTGGTGACGCCGTGGCACTTTGCGTGGCAGGCGTGGCGCTGGGTGACATCCACCTTCGTTTTGCGTGGCAGGCGTGGCACTTGGTGAAATCCACCTTCGAAAAAGACACCGTTGTGTTCCCGCGGCCAAGACTCAGCCAGTGCGTTCCTGCACATGGACCCGAATCAGGATCAACTGATCCATCTTCCGGCGTTAATAGGAGATTCATCCCGCGGGGTTCTTGGTTTTGGTTGTGCACTTCCGCACACCTCCTCCTCCTCCACACCATCTTTCACACACAACTTTGTCACACACCATCTTTCACCACACCATCTTTAGCACACAACTTTGTCACACACCATCTTTTGCCACACCATGTTTCACACACCGCTTTGTCACACACCATCTTTCACACACAGCTTTGTCACACACACACACACCATTTTTCTTTGTCACACACCATCTTTCACACACAACTTTGTCACACACACCGTTTTTCTTTGTCACGGACCATCTTTCACATACCGCTTTGTCACACACAACTCTTCACATACAAGTTGTTTTACTTCTCGATCCTCCATCACATCCTTTGTCTTTCCTGCCTTCCCCGTCCCCCCTACAACATTTGTGGATCATTATTGGAAGAAGTTGACTTGTGGGGTTATCCGGTCCTTTAATTTAAAACTATGAAGCGGATTTTGCACCTCAGGCAATCCTGCCCTATGTAAGTTGGGTGTTTGTTCTCAGTTTTCTTGCGAACTGCTGAAACTCTTCCTGTCTTTGGCGGCGTGGAAAGGGCGTTGAACCGAGGCGAGATCAGTCTCGGTCGCCGATGAATCGTTAAAAAACCTGACGGGTGCCTGTTCCACATCTAGCCCTATCCAGACAAACAACGAAGCGACCAAGCAACTAAGCAACCAAACAATCAATCAAATTGGACCATGTGGTGAACCACAACTTCCCTTAATACCGCACTCGTTGAGTTGTTTTCACTCATTCATTCATCCATTCACTTTCTCGGCCGTCATTTAATTCCTTCGCTGAGTCCTTCAAATTCCAACACCCATGCTGCACCCATGCCTCTTGTTGGACCATGCCCAGGCTGCCCGTTGGAACTCAACAACTTGTTTCAGTATTCCCCTGTGTCAACGTTGCGCAGCCACTGGTTAGAGAAGTTCCATGCGGACCCTATACAGCCTTGCTGCACGCCATCTCCAATATGAAAAACCCGGCTGCGACCCCAATCCCGCCTTTTATATGATCGGAAACAGGGCGGCTCAAAGCACAGGTTGGCTCAAGACCCTTTATACCGTACCTGTGGTAGTTAGTGTGACGCGCTGCCGTGATCAAAAACTGCACGTTGACAAACTAAAACAAAAGCAGGGATCCAGCAAAAAATGCAAAGAAACCAGGGACAAAATCTTACGTATAACAAATTGGAGAAGTATGAAAAGGCAAAAACAACGGGAAATGCAAACCAGACAGGAACAAACTGGCAAAATATTTCCACAGATTTCAAGAAGGGTTACCTCAAGTTTGTTGATGTTGATGAAACGGAGATGCTGACAGAACCCCGCTGGCGGAACCAAACGAACAGCGCCGGAAGTAACACCAGACAAGGAAACACCAGCAAGAAACAAAATACATCAAAATACAATGCGTTGAGGTAGCCCCAAGGGCGTTAGTTCCTGAGGTCCCCGACCAGAGCGCTGCGACATTTGCAGCATTTCGCGCAATGATGAGGCATGAAGTGAAACAAAATTTTGTGGAGACGGAACATCGCTTATCCGAATACTTGAGTGCATCAATGACGGTGGTCAGAACGAAATTGAGTGAAGAACGCGCAGCCAGACTGAAGTTAGAGGAAAACATGCAAAATTTTGGAAGTTAGTTGTTGGTTCCAAAGTGGAAACCATGACGAAGTGGATAAATCAATTGTGGTGATTGGGGGATTCCACGGGGGATGTGCTTATTTTGTTTCCACAAGGCGTTCAATGACGTTGCAGGTTTCCAAAAAATTGGTTGACAGGAAACACGTCCAACATTGCTTTGGTTCGTTTTAATTTATATATCTAAATTTGAGTCTGTGAACTTGAGGTTTCTACTGGCGAGGTTTCTACTGGCGCATGCGGGATGCCCGGCGGTTAGGTTGACGGAGGTCGAGGGTGAGGTTGATGGGCTATGTTTTTGCGACGGTGGGGTTGATGGAAAGGTCGACTGTGAAGCTGACGTTCCGTCCAGGTATCCGTCAAGGTGTCTGTTACGCTTTATTGCGGATGAATGAACCTGATTTTGGATGAACAAATCTGACTTCATAGAAACACGCCGTAATTATACTACGTCCCACGATTATAGAAGACATTCAGGATTTTTCAAAAAGAGAATGCAATTTGGAGGTGCGGCCAGAAGCATTTCAAATAGAAGATATTTCAGAGTGTAGAAATTCATTTTTGCTAGAATCAACCCGTCAACATTGGGACCATCTTTGAATA